AAATATTCATGTCATATTCAGGAGACTGCAGTTGAAGGAATGTGAATGTTGTATTTCAATTGAGGCAAGTTGCATGTCGTTAATACCCTGCATGAAAATAGAAAATTTTCCAACCTTAATCAAGGCTGATTTGGAGATATTTCAGAAATAAGTAATTAAAGCAAACTCGAAGTAATCAGCAAACGGCAATATCCATAAGAACCGTTAATAGGGAGATAAGAAGCTTCCTCCATTATATGAGAGAGCTCCTTGCCGCAACAAATGGGCAATGAAAAAGGATAAATGGATGACAAAATGGTTTTTCAAATTCCCGATGAACACACAGACTTGACTAATCTTTTCCAAATAGTTTTACAGTCATGACATTGTCAGGATTCCACCATCATTTCTCTTTGACTGCTCCACACTCTGCTATTGTCTCATTAGGGCAACAACCTCTCTGAAATTTTTGACCTTTTTGTGACTGTATCATAGAGCATTCTCTGATTGAATTTTAGTCGATAAAAATGGGCTTCACAATGCCGTGCACAAGTCTGCAAAGACCCTGACAAATTCCCTAGCTGGCCAACTACTTTTATCAAGAATTCAGAACTGAGTTGAAGGCTCCTTGAAGTCCATATATCTCCTAGTATTTTTAAATTAAAATATTTGAATATGGACTTCTTCAACTACACAGCAAGTATGCTGATGACTGATTCTGTCAATTTTAACTTCGATATGATCCGATCCGAAGCGCTTTTCTATCGACATCACGACTATAAAAAGCTCTTTGATATCAATCCTCGTAAAGAGTCAGGGCCGACTAATGACCTTTGTTGCTATTAATCAGTAGACATTTGGAAAAGTATGTTGAACGCCATTCGTACCATATATTTACCTTTTTACATGCAAGTGCATTGTTTACATCCGAAAGTTCACGGACAATGTAGCTTAATCCGACAGAATGCTGACATTTGTAGTAATTATTCTAAAACAAGTACATCCACATCGGGGATCGGGTTTCATATTATTGGACATTCCAAAATTTCAAACTTTCGATATTGTGTGACGAAAGAATTGTTTCCATTCTCATTTCATGAAATTTTTTGGAACGTTTGAATTTCTTGATAGCCCCTTACTGTCCATATGGTGCGATTTCTCAGATCGATTTGCTGTTTTTAAGGACGTCCATTTCAAAGTTGCGCGAAGGAACTGCTGAAATAGGTTTGCTTGTATCTGAAGTATTTGTTTTAAAGTAAAGGTAAAAATTCACACTTAGTTAGCAAGCGTTTTTCATTCAATAAATCCTCATCTCGCTTACTGCGTACAAATTGTACTTCCTAGTTGTCAATTCTTCCTTGGTCTTGTACATTATACCCCATTCATTCTTTGTGAGAGATCGCTAAATCTATGTTGCAATGTAGATTTTAGCAAATATAATTTCTCGGGACTTCGATTAATTCCAATCAGACCACCATTTTAAAGTCAAGGTTGTTTTTTCCAAAGCAATAAACCCCTTTCAGTTGTTCAAAACCAGTTTCAGCCCGACACTGACTTTGTTTTTAATGAGGATTGACACATTTTAAGACCTCAGACGTAAGCGCTTTTGAAAACATTGAGCATGCATGCATCAAAACTGGTTTCTGATCACCAAAGTAAACGTGTCTATGCTCAAATCTATGTGCTCTATGCTCGTGTTGAAGAAAATTACTCATCGTAGGTCAAGCCCCAACACCGATTAACGTATAATCAACAGCAACGAAAAATATACTGCGACATGGGTTTTCGTCAAATTTTTCACCGATGAATGTTTTTCGCATTTCGGCTCACGGTGTGTTTGCGTTGTAAAATTGCTCTAGGTGAGGACTTGCAGTTATCAAAACGTCATTTTGATTTCCCTTATCAACGAAAATGTCGTATGAAAACCCTACTTACGATAATGAAGAAGGTCTTAAGAAATTTGTGAGCATTGAGATGGAACAACCCGGATTGTTTCAGTCAGAGAAGACGAAGAAGCGAGAAGTGCTGTTGCTTTTAGCTGTCTTGGTGTTACTCATTTTAGTGATCACGTTCATAGCTTTATACGCCACGGCAAGAAACCATGCAGATGACACAGACGGCTATGCAGCTAAACAAGGTAAGTGGCAGAAAGATCTTACATGTGTAAAAGGTTGTTTTCTTTTGAAATGTAAACCTAATCATGCGCTGATATTGTATTTCTATCAATGGGGAATGTTGGGGATGACAGTTATTTTATCGCTGGTCAAACTAAACCATTCCAGTGATAATGTGATTTAATTAGCTTGATCGACAGGACAAGTAGGAAACGCGATATAAATGTAGGTTCACGAGAGTGAACTAAGATTCCGATCATACCAGTGAGTGTTGCACATATGAAAAATATGCAACTACATGCACTACAGGCGGAGACATTCCGTTGTGAGTTACAATGATAACTTGCTCTTCGATTCTGGTTAAAATAGTCGCAAATTTTACGCGTTTTAAATAGTTTATAACAGAAAGTATTGTATATAGTGTGTGCTTATATTCGGGCCACGTGACGAAGAGCGAGCTGCTTCAATTTAAGCTCTTGTCCCCAAATCCTAGTTTCACGTGCTAGTAAAATATAATATTTTTATTATCTTGTTTTTTGCGACATTCCCAAAGATTAATTGAAAGAACGAGTCACTGATCAGTTAATTAGTTGTTTACAGTTCACAATTGGTAAAACTGCCAGACTTGTTTCAAACTTGAAAAGTCTTATTAGACCTTCTTTTGTGGTCTTGGCTTTGACATTCATAACCTCGACCATAGTTTGAAATTTTCCCACAGATGCATATCCCGTTATCTTGTTTTGTCATTAACTTTGTTTGCTCACCTGCTAAATTGTTCTTGATGTAATCAATACGTTTGCAAAAATTTGTGCCATGCAGTGCAAAATTCCGTTTTAACATTAACACAAACTTCATACATATATAGAGCTCATGTATGTGTCTGATGTATTTCGTCTACACACGGGGTGAAGTACTTCTTCCATTCAACATCTAAGAACTTCATATCGATTTGTAAAATAACATTAAAGCATAAATGGTGTTATTGATTTGTTAATAATGTTGCATACATTAACCTTTGGCAAAACAGCACATAGTTACTACTATAGGCATAAACAATTTCAACACGTACGTTTTTCATTTGTCTTATATTTTGCAAAAATGTAAACATGTAGTCAACGTTTGCACTCGCATGCAAGTGTATTAGTCACGTTTGCTTAAGTTGAGCATGTATGAAATACAGCTCACGAATTAAGTCTAACTAAAATTTCAGATTTTCGGATAAAATTCTGACGTTCGAAGGGAACACTTTTGAGTGAAATCCAATCTAGCTATCAAACTTAATTTAAAGTCGATTTTAAGGCAAATTAGGGCATTCCTTGCAATAATTTCTGTCACCTGTTTTGTTTATGAATGGCTTAAAGTTAAAAATAGCCCCAAGAAGATTCCTGTTTTCCAATTCGAGAGTGCATTTGCCAACAGTGCAGTGACAAAAATCAACCATACAAAGATTGTTTAATGTTTCATTTTGAGGTTAGAATAGGTAAAAGGAATTAAAGCTAATAGAAATATGGCCATAGCGAATGCAAGTTATGAAAATCAGCTGATATTGTAGACAGCCAATGCTCGATTAGAACAAACGAGTCAACAAATTCACCAGCTTAACTGCAGAGCGATGGCAGATCGCGTGTGATAGCAAAGAATATACGAGTTGTATAAACTTATGTTACAAGTTCATAATTGGGTACTCCGATTTCCAAACTTGACACGCCTATTTTAGCACATGCCTGGTAGCTGATATTTGTAGTAACTTCGCGTGTGAACCCTGATTGACTCTCAGGAATAAAGAGTCTTTACAGCACTTCTTCAATCTTTTGTGTTAGTTAAGTAAGGCCACTTACAGCTTGAAGCAAAAGGAGAGCTATGCCAGGAGTCGAATGAATGAAACTTGAAAACAATTAGGTCTCGGATGTTGAAGGTTTGATGTGTCATAGCAAATTTGGTAGTTAATTTTGTCACTTTGAGAGATAAAGAGCAGAGTACAAGCAACAAGCTGGCCCATCACCACAAGAGATTGATGCAAATGTCAGCGTGAACTATCACAGATGGGAGCCAATAATTACGTATCGTGACATGAAATTATTTTGCAAAACAAAGACGACGGATTCAAATTATCATTTGATAATTTGACTCGAATTATTCAATCATAATTTCTCTCATCTTGTGAACATTTCCGGCTTCTCGGTCGTGTGTCAACTTCTACAACATTTACAACTCATTATAAATTCTTAATGTAATAGAGCATTCGTGCTCAATTTTCTCAAGCTTTTGATATTCTGTTGTAATTGCTGTTAATTATAACAAACGGACGTAAATTATTCTGAGTTCACTTGTCGTATAATCCAAAGAAACTAATCATGCCAGAGCACAGTGTTAAATACACGAAACCTTTCCAAAACGATCAAGACGAAGGAGACGGCGCTGCAGTCGCCGTAATTGGGTCGAATCACGGCTCTGCTACTCGATCAAGACGCGTTAAATTTGTGGCTTTTGTCGTGGTCATTCTTCTTATTCTGAATGTTATATTCCTTGCCCTCTTTTAAACGATCGACATCGTTACAACGAGTGCAAGAAAAGTTTGCAAGGTTTGTCAAGAGTTTGTAGGATGCGAATGTGTTTCGTGACGAGCAAGCAGTTAGATTTATTTTTGAATACAAATGTGTCGGTTGGTTGCTCGTCGATTGCTTTAGCCGGAAAATGAAGTCCCACGATTTTGTACTTGTTGTAAGTGGCAGCAATCAATTTTGACGTATTTTAAATTCACCGCCACCGGAGACGATGTCCCATAGTTAAAGCAGCCGTGGCAGTATGATGCTTTTAAATACAGCAAAATAAATTCTGTTTATGTCAATAGTTTGCATATTTTACACGGGCTGTGACCGACAGCCGTTATTATAAAATCATAAATAAACGTGAGTCATTGAAAGAGCCAGTGTATTTAAGAGCACTTGTTAAGCGGTATAAGTGATTTCTGTAGCAATTTGATGTGTTAAATGTTTATATAAAATCGAAGTATTGCATTGATGCTTAAGTGAATTATGTATATTCATACGCCATAGATATTTATAGCTAATGGATCGTTCTAATTTGCCAAGATAATTTGGCGCTTTACTGAAATCGTCTCATCCGAATCGGAGTTATACTAAACGAGTTTCTGTTCAAATATGACGAACATCTATAATCACGCTGCAAAAGTCGGGCTTTCGATATCGAAGATTTTTGCCTGATATGTATAATATATTGCAAACCACCTGCTCGACTACGTACATGGTATTAAGAACGTCGAAAGAATACCAAGTTTGGACCGGTCTCTGCAATTGTTTGCATTTTTGGCAATAATGGTGAAAGAGCTGATTTTTCACAGCGTTCAATTGCTTGATTCAAAACAAAATTTCGCCATGGGAAAATCTAATAACGCCTTGTCCGATTTTGACGAACTGCCAAATTCCTTGGGACAAAGGGCATATAGCTCTTATTGACAAGCTCTTCCTTTTACCGGCAAGGCTTCGTGAAATACATCTTAATAATCTAATTAGTAGCTTGTGGCATGTCTGTTGAGGATTTTTTAAGGCGCCAGCTATTTATCTTGCAACAAAACATAGTATGTGGTCCACTTTGCGACCTTCCTAAATACGAACGCTCTTACTCTCAAGGCATTTAAAGGCCATGTGAATTGACTTAAAGTAACCAAAGAATTTTTGTGTTTTTGAAGCGGTATTTTTCGATGAAGGACGATGATCAAGATGATCTGTTGTTAGGTGGAGCCAACAAATATCAGTCATCAAAACACTGTATCAGGCAAATGGACATTTGGGCGTGATTGTCACAACTGTCCCCCATTTTTGCACTTGTAAGAAAAATATATCTTCACTGTTATTTAAGGCACAGACTGTGCTGTTTTTCAACGTCTTCCCTTGTCTCGTTAAAGATGTTAGTGTTTTCGCCCTTTCTCTTAGAATTAGTTAAAAAGGATGAGGCGTTATAAAGAGTAAGAGAAAACAGGCCCTTATAAGGAGGACGTATTGATTCGGATTGCCTTGGCAAACATATAAGCAAGTTTATCTATTTGATTTGATCCGTTATCTAATTTTAAGATGATTAAGGTGATACGCCGCTGAGCAATCCATTAGTGGTAAAATGTTTATATTGAACGTAATTCCATCTCTTTGTCGTTGCAAACTGTGCAAAAGATCCGTCCGTGGATAAAACAGTAGATAAATAGTTTAAAAAATGATACAAAAAACAAGTAGGATAAGAAATATCGAGCCAAAGGTCAACTTGCATGCTGGCTTCATTTCAACTTCCCCTCATAAGGGAGTTCAAAAATATCGTATTTAATTGGCTTGAGAGAGTAAAATTTCAATGTCAAATGCTGGTGAAACGATTGCTTTGACTCGAACAGTGTCCAACATCATCTATCATATTTTTTAGAATGGTAATACGATGTCAACGTTTGCACAGTTATGACGTTGTTTGAAGACTATGTTTCTCGTCTGATCAATTCGCCCACGCAATTTAATTAGGACTAAGCGACAATCCTTGACCAGACGACAATTTGTGGTGAAGTCATGAAACAATTTAATAAAAATTTGTTTCATTTAAAAACTGAAATATCACAGTTTTGTAATATTACGTGTACATCATTTTGTCTGATGATGGTTTTGAAAAACCGAAATGTTGCAGATTGAATCGTCTTGTTTTTATACTTTAACTTGAGTCAGTTACAAGACGCCCTTTTTCGGATTGTATTTTATTTCATACCAAGCATCAAACTTTCGTCTATTGCCCAGTGCGAATGTTGTCAAATGGCTTAAGGATATGCTGAGAATTATTTCTAATACCATATAAACTAGGCTATTCATACAAATTGAAAGATAATTCATTCTGGTTGAGTCAAGTATAATTTTTTCCATGGAAAATCTTTTTCTACGATTTTAATAATACAGCACATTTATGAGTTCATCAAATGAAAATTAAATATTCAGATTTCTCTTGTTCCTACACTCTCGATTACGTAATAACAAATATGGTATGGTATGTGCCCGTTGCTTTTGGCAATTGATTTGAACATGTATCAATTGTAAGTGACAAGATATCACAATAAGTATGAACCATTCACTCTTTGACTTCTATTTTCTTTTCATTTAGATGGGGTGAAGACAACTCCATCTTCATCTACACACCCTCAGTCTGGCAAGCCTACACAAACTCACACCAATGTTACTTCCACGATTCCTACGCCCACCAAACCAGACTATGGACCCGGTCCTTGGAAGAAGATTCGCCTTCCCTCTTACTTTAAGCCACGTCACTATGACGTTGAGCTGGTCGTAGAGCTGGATAAGCTGATCTTCAGTGGATATGTGGTTGTGACACTCAATCTGACTCAAGAAACACCTTACATGTATTTGCATTCCAATAAACTGAAAATCTCATCTCGATGCATAAAAAAGAACGGTATGTGAGTTTGTACACTACTTAACAATCCAACAGGACCAACACTTGGCATTATATCAGAATAAATTATATGATAAGTACACTACCAAGAGGGCAAAAACATCGTGGAGCTGCACATCTAACATCTAATTCCATTTGTCCTGTTCACTTATTCTTTGTTTCAATTTTAGTTGCTATTTTTAACTTTACCAAGAAATTTGGTTTATTTAAAAATTAACGTATTATAACTAAAAGGTTTCGTCAATTTTTAGTCCCTTTGCACTCTATTGTCAAAGTCTACGCTCTCATGTAGTATATATAGCTACGCACATTTAAATGAAAACAATGAAACGCTAATTTTAGAGATTCTGTATGAAACATTTGACCCAGCATTCTTGGCTTAGGGTTAGCTGAGAGAAGTTCTTAAAATAAGACTCTCTTTTCGCTTTGCATTGCAGGCAAGTCGTTAGATCTGAAAAGGTATTTCTGGTATTCAACGAACCAATTCTACGTGATGGAGACCAAAGAGAAGCTAGCTCCAGGCGAGTACAAAGTTCGACTGGAGTTTACTGGAATTTTGGCTGATGATCTCGTCGGACTTTACAGGAGTACGTACAAGAATAAGGATAACAAAGAAATGTAAGACGCTTGTTGAAAGTGCCTTGCCCCTGTTTCTCAAGGATACGAAATGGCGTATTTTAAACACTGCATGTATCCAATACGTGTCCCAATCTAATAAACGCCCCCCTCTCTACCTAACAAGATCAAACGCCCCTCATCAATAAATACTTCTTATAAAATTCATAAACGGCCTATATCTTGCATAGAATAATAATTACTATTACTATTCTGAAATTAATAACTGAATTTAAGAATGAACGTTTGAATTAAACGCTCCTCTCTAAAAAACGCCCCTCTCAAAGAATCGCCCCTCTCTAGTGATGTAAAATATATAGATACCCGAGGTCAAATCTAAATATGTGAAGTCAAATAAGATATGAGAAGTCAAACATAGATATGTGAAGTCAAATATAGATACGGGAAGTCCAATATAGATGCGTGAGGTCAAATATAGATACGTGAAGTCAAATAATATATGAGAAGTCAAACATAGATACGTGAAGTCAAATATACATACGTGAAGTCAAATATACATACGTGAAGTCAAATAGGATATGAGAAGTCAAACATAGATACGTGAAGTCAAATATAGATATGTGAATTAAATTTTAGTGACTTTACTTGCTCTGTTGACACTTCTAAGCTTAAGCTTGCTCTTCTAGAACTATTGCAGCGACTCAATTGCAAGCGACGGATGCTCGTAAAGTGTTTCCCTGTTTTGATGAGCCCGCTTTGAAAGCAACCTTCAACGTGACGCTTGTGCGAGCAAAAGACATGATTTCCATAACCAACATGCCTAGAATGAGAAGTGAAAATCGATCTGACACAATGGTCGCCGACTATTACTATAAAACTGTTATCATGCCAACATATCTCTTGGCATTTGTCGTATGTGATTTTGGTTATCTGCATGCTACGGCTGGTAAACAGAACCAAACCTCGGTATGAAAATCTCTGTCAACTATATGCATGACTTTTATAAAAGAATGCGTGCAATGAACGAGCATTTTTCTAGCCTTGTCAAAAAATTTGGGCCAAACTCGTCAAATGGAAAGTCTGTAAATAGTTTATTCGGAAGGAGTTTGTAAGGACGCAATATAATTGATTGAACGTATAAATCGGATTCGAGCTTAAAAAGGTGGTGCATGTTGTCTTACTTGTTCAGAAAATGCCTAAATCCAAATTACTTAACAATTAAATCCGAATAAGGAAGAATTAACAGTATAACGCTTTAAGAGGAGTGGGGCAAAGAGTAGGGTGGATTTTTCTGATCCTGCGTAGAGAAAATGTTCATTTGTCAAAAATGTGTTTTTCAACAAATTAGAACTCATGTAAGTGAAAAAAGGATATTGGCTGATGAAGGGTTAGAGGTGTCTAATCTTGTAAAGAAAATGTTTTTTTCAGCGTGAGAATTGCAATTTTTGCATTTAACTTAGTTTGAGCAACGGATCAAATTTAGCATTTCTGTTTCACGTTAACATTTATAATTATGTGGAAAAAACCAAAAGATAAAAGCTTCGTATGTTATAGCTAGATATATGCATTAACATTGGCTTTCGTGAAAATAGACTGAATTCAAAAATATTGCGTGTATCTTTTAGATGAAGTATTATACGTCGAAAGGTCAAATAGATCAAGCCGAGTTAGCAAGAAGCGTTGGTGGAAAAATACTCGATTATTTCGAAGGCTTTTTTAACATCTCGTATCCCTTACCAAAAGCAGGTAAGTTGTGCTTATCCTATTGGAAGAGTTTAGGAATCTTGAATTATGTTGGTGTTGTTTTGAATGAGAAAAGTCTCGGGGACACCCGCGTACTTTACAGTGCATCAAATTTCATTATGCAGAGGTTTCCCTCTCGTTTTATGGTGTTGTGAGATATGATTGGTAAATATTTGGTCATAGATGTTAAATTTGGAAAATATGTTGAGCTCAACTTACCCAAGAAACTGGGTTACTCGTTTCTGGGTTACTCGTTTGAATCTTAACAAGTCCCTAAAAACATAATAGTATTTATAGTCCGAGACTCTATAGCATTTGACAAGGTTTTTGCACGACGTTTCTCCTCCAAATATCCATGCAGTGAAAGCCACTACGATGCCGAATTCTTACAGCTTCGTTGAATTCCATTTTCAGACATGATTGCCGTGCCTGACTTTCAGGCCGGTGCAATGGAGAATTGGGGACTTATCTTGTACCGTGAAACTGCGATGTTGTTCAAAGAAGGTCAGTCGTCCGAATCCAATCGAGAAAGGATTGTTCAAGTGATCTCTCACGAGTTGGCACACATGGTAACGTATTCTACGCGATTCAAAATCAATATCTTATACTAAAACATCAGCAAACTGGAGTGCATGTATAATTTTTTTACTATCAAACATCCCTGATGAAGACACTAGACTGAAGTATGCATGAGAGAAAATTAAATTTCAACTTCAGATCACTTCCCATTCTAGGATGTGTAAGGACACAAGTTTCAACATCAGATCACTACTGATGAAGAAACAAGACCGGAGTATATAAGGATTGTAGTTTCAACATCAGATCACTTCTAATGTAGAAACTAGACTGAAATATATAAGCACTCCAGTTTTAGCATCAGATCACTTCTGATGAAGACACTAGACAGGAGTATCCATATAAAAGACTCAAGTTTTAACATATCTCATCGCTCTTGATGAAAACGGTAAAGTGGACCATCTAAAAAATAATTTTCAAAATTAGACCTCTCCTAATATTGATTTATAAGAGTGGAAAACGTTTAATTATTTATCGACCATCTCTGTGTCGTAAACAATGTTCTTTTTTTCTAGTGGTTTGGTAATCTCGTCACTCCATTGTGGTGGGATGATCTATGGTTAAACGAGGGTTTTGCAAGTTTTGTTGAATACATAGGAGTGGACTATATTTATCCAGATTGGAACATGGTAAGATTAGAACTATTGTAGCAATTGATATTTGGAAAATTTTTTTGTTTGCAAGTCAAGATAGTTTTTTAAGGTAATCTGGTGTTTTTAAATAAAATTATCAATTTCTTAAAGTTTTTTTTTAAAGTTTTGCTTTCAGACGTTAAAAACTGTATTTTCTGCTATGATTTAGTTTTTTGCCATCTGTACTCAAACGATAGTCATTACATTCTTATTAAAATGTTTGCGAATCGGACTGGAATTTTGACGTTTCATTTTGTAAATTACATATGCTAGGAGTGTCATTATCTTCTCGTTTTTTTTCTTTCTCATTCAAGAACGATGCATTCATCAACAACGACATGTTTTACGCGCTTACTTTAGATGCTTTAGTCACGTCGCATCCCATTTTACTACCTGTGAATCATCCAGATGAAATCAACGAAATCTTTGACAGCATAACGTACAACAAAGTATGCTAGCATTACATAACTTAAAATAGCATTGCATAACTTAAAATGGCGTTACGTAACTTGGAAATGTAACTCGTCATGTTCTGTTTACCAGTGTCTTTATTGTTGTAATGATGAAACAAGTCTTCTTATTTTCTGTTGACCAGCGGGTCTTTGTTGTTGTAATGTTGAAACGTGAGTCATCCTGTTGTGTTTACCAGTTTCTTTATTGTTGTAATGTTGAAACTTAACTGATCATGTTCTGTTTACCAGTGTCTTTATTGTTGTAATGATGAAACAAGTCTTCTTATTTTCTGTTGACCAGCGGGTCTTTGTTGTTGTAATGTTGAAACGTGAGTCATTCTGTTCTGTTTACCAGTTTCTTTATTGTTGTAATGTTGAAACTTAACTTATCATGTTCTGTTTACCAGTGTCTTTATTGTTGTAATGTTGAAACAAGTCTTCTTATTTTCTGTTGACCAGCGGGTCTTTGTTGTTGTAATATTAAAACGCGACTCTCCATGCTTTCTTTATCATGCTTTCTTTGTTGCTGTCATGTTGGAACGTGACGTATGTTCTGGTCTACCAGTGTTTTGAAAAGTTCTTTTTTTGAAAAGTGCAGCTATCAAAATGTTTCTTTGACTATTGTTTTCTTTTTATAACTTACTCTAAAAGTATCACAGATGAAACTGCCAGTATTATATTGAAATGTTTATCTTTCAGGGAGCGTCTGTCATTAGAATGTTAGAATATTTCTTGACACGAAACACCTTTACCAAGGGATTGACTGTGAGTATTTGATGATGATGATGACGTTGAGAATTTTTCTTTGGAATTCATCGCAAGATGTTTTTGAATGAGGAGCTCATCAATTAAGGAAGTCGTGCATTTGCTTGTGAATGCGTTTGTTTGGTTTAATAGTCATTTTTTCATTTTTGCTTATTTCAAGAACTATTTAAACGCCTATGCTTATGGGAACGCACAGACTAAAGATCTATGGAATCATCTCACACAAGTAAGTTGCTATATTAAGTCAATTCTTGGTTATCATTAAATGCCCAATGAAAGCGAACCAAACATGTGTCTTTGAGCATTAATAAGGAAAACAAATATGTTCGAAAGGTTGTGTCAATCATACATGCGGTCAAATTTTCCCTGTCTTGACGAGGGTTGTAATAGTCTGCTCACATTAAGGGGTCAAGGAATAATGCAGTAGCTAAAAGAAATGTTGACTGTGGAGGAAATACCAAGGAAAAATATATGGTACATTAATTTACGAGTCAAGGACAGCTGTATATTTTTGATGATATTATTTTTAGCACGAACAAATATGTTTAAACTTGTTCTAACTCTGGCGATGATACTTGAAAAAATGAAACCGAGTCTTTTGGCGGCTTCGTTTAGAATTGGGATTTTGACCAGGTCTTGCTGTGATTGTTTCGGCTTTTAAATATATATCGAGATCTTTCAGCTAATTTGGAAAGTCTGTGAAAACCGTATGCATGTTTTGCTTTTCCAAAGGTTTTCATTTAAATTTCTCGAATCATTTCAAATTAAAGAAGTTTGATATGGAGTGTCGGCAAACACGTGTTTGTTTTAGTGCAAAAGCTTGTTTTATCACTTGGGGTGGGAAGGGTAGGGGCGCAGAAAATTTATTGGTCTATTGCTACGTAGACTTTTGATAGTTGTTGCCTTTAACAGGCATGCAAATCTGAAGGTAAAGACATTGATGTTGCTGAAATCATGGATACCTGGACTCTACAAATGGGATTTCCCCTGGTTAATGTGAGTGAAGATAATGGCAAGATCGTTTTAACGCAGCAGCGTTTCCTGGACGATCCAGATGCAGACCAAAATAACACAAAATTCACTTCAAAATTTGGGTATGTGCGAAAGAAGTTTCGCCTAGTACTTAAGATTTTAAAGCGAGTTTCTGAAACCTGGGAGTATCGTCGAATGTTTGTAGATAAAGATCGTCCAGGTTAGTTTAGTCTAAGGACTTTTGGTTTTGGAGTTGACTCAACTGACTCTGAAGATTACCATGGCAAAGGTTGAGGAAACGCTATTCAACACCAACACCGTGTCAGTCCTCTAGATTCCACTAACCTGGACTTGTTAGTAAGATTTTTGACTTTCAAGAGGAAGTTTTCTATGGGTTGCTGAATGTTACGTTTTTATTCATTGATTATCATTTTGTTGATCGTACGAGGACGACGTCCTGCGTAGTTTCAACTCCCTTAAACATATATTATTAATGAGGGCGAAACTGGGCTCGAGAAGGCACGTTCTATAGGAAAAGAAAATGACTTTTTTTGCAAGCATTGACGTGAAGTAAGCTATCCTTTATCTTTATTGCAATTAGAACCTTGCTCTTCCGTTGTTTTCAAAAATTCAACTACATCTTTTTCTTTATTAGTTATAAATGGAACATTCCGTTTTCAGTGGCAGTGGGCAATGAAAGTGGTAACATAAAAGTGGATGTAGCCGGCAGAAAAATCACGTGGATGAACAAAACAGCAGGTGAACATGAAAAAAATGGTATAGAATCTATTGTATCCTAAGGTTAGTTTTCAGCTCACACCCAGATAAATTTCAATATATCTGGTAAGTTATCTGTCCTTCTTTCTTCTATAATATCAATAATAATTAAAACAATGTAGTTGTGTGTTTCGATATACATGACCATTTCATCACAACTTTACATACACGGGAATTGTGGGATGTGTTTTATTCAATTGTTCAAACTTCAAAGTTATGGTAACGTAGTATTTAATGCTAGTTTCGTCTGTAGCCGAGGGCTATCTCAATTTAAATAGTTACTATTCAAACTTCATATAGTTAAAACAACGGTGGCTAACGAGCGCTGGGATTCAAGCAATCAATGGATAAAAGGAAATATTGGACAGAAGGGTTTTTATCGCGTAAACTATCCAACCAAAAACTGGGATTTACTGGCCCAGCAGTTGCAGTATAATCATTCGGTTTGTAACAAATATGTTGTTCAGTTTTCAAAAACTATATTTATCAATATTTACCTTTACATAAGCAGCCATAGAATAGATGCAAGTACGAAGTCAAAAACAAAGTCAACCTAAGCACAATTAGTTATAAATACAATAGGTTCGTCCAGGTAGTGGAGTACTGAGAAAGATTGTTGGTGTTGATGTTGATTGACGTTTCTACAACCTTAGATGATTACCGCTAAGTTATCGAAACGTCAGTCAACATCAAAACCGATAGTTTTAAGGCTCTTTTCCACTCATCGCAAAATGCTCTCGCTGCGAGCTTGCGAGGAGTATCATCTCGCGCTGCCAATTTCCACTCTTTGCTTTGCTTCATAATATATTACATGGCGGTTTGTTTTTGTTTACAATATGGCGGCCGTTGTCAATCGCCGTATTTTGTTATTACTGTATTTAAGACGTCGTATGCGAAGATGCAAGAAGTATAAAAAGCGTTTTTGGGTTAGGCCGATATTCAAAAGACGACAACAGCATGAGGAATACTTCAGATTGGTAAAAGAAATGAAAGAAGAAGATCACGAAAGCTATTTCGCCTACTTCAGAATGCTCCCTCGACATTTTGATTTTTTACTGTCTCTGGTCGCGCCTCTTATCTCTAAATGCAGCACAAGAAGGGATGCTATTTCTCCGTTGGAAAGGCTTGCTTTGACTTTACGTTATTTGGCGTCGGGTGACAGCCCTCAAAGCTTATCATTCAGCTACAGGATTGGTTTGACAACAGTACATAAAATAATTGGTGAATTTACAGAAGCAATTTGGTCTACTCTCTTTAAGAAAGGATATATTAAAGCTCCAGAGAGTTCTTTTGAGTGGGAGAAAGTAGCAGAAGAGTTCGAAAAAAGGTGGAACTTTCCTCACTGTTGTGGAGCCATGGATGGAAAGCACATTAGAATGCAAGCTCCCCCATCAGCTGGTAGCAGATATTTCAACTATAAACTGTGGCATAGTATTGTCCTACTTGCAGTTGTAATAATAATAATAATAATTGAGCTTGTATAGCGCTCATATCAAAAATTCATGGTGCTTCACAAATAAAAGAAAATAAATATCAAACTTATATAAAAGCAGTAATAAAATGTCATTTTTCATTAAAGATCACGTAAAACCAAATGAAACAAAGTTTTTAAATAAATGGCTTTTCAGTTCTTTCTTGAAAGATTGAATTGAAGAACTTTTCCTAATTTGAAGTGGAAGATTATTCCACAGTTTGGGTCCACATATCCAGGTAAACACCTGACAGAAGAAAAAAGGGTTTTCAATTATCGCTTGTCAAGGGCAAAGATTGTTGAAAATGCTTTTGGCATAGCCGCATCACGCTTCCGCATCTTAAGACAAGAAATTATTGCCCATCCGAGCAAAGTCCATCTTATAAAGCGTCATTTAATTTTTTTTATTTTTTTTGAAAAAATTAAAATTTATATACAATTATAACTACAACATACAAATATTAATGTTAAAAACTAAATCAAATATAACTAAAATCAATGTTTAAAATATCCATGATAAAGGGACAGTCAAGTGTAAAGACAACTTTCCCAATAACTTAGGTCAATATTTAAAGTATGTTCGCGAGTTGAGGCAGATCGACTTCCTCGTAGCGCAGTAATTGCTGACCTAATCAGTGCGAAAGACAGTTTACAACGCATCCACGCTAGCGTGATGCCATATTGCAGCTTTCTCTTTTGTGCCAGCAGATCAGCTAGCCGTTTATAAGCAATTGCCGTCTCTTTCCCATACCACCTGATGTTGAAAAGACCAGTGGTGTAAAAGCAGCATATTCAATCTCTCTTACTCGATCACCATATTCCCTTTTCTTAGCCATCTCATGTTGACGATAGAGTGCAGGTAGATTGGTGTTTTGGTAGCTCGACGCGTTTGGGTGAAATACCCTTACATCAAAAAATGCATCTTGCTGTCTAGACCAAAAACCTTTAGCACGAATATCTAGTCTCGCTTCTTCTTGTCTATTGGCTGTACGAGGTAATATCACTTCCCCAGAAAGAGGTTGTAATTGTGGCTCTTTCACAACTGTCGAGCAAACTTATGCCATCCACTGTGCTGTTATACCTCGAACTTCATTATCGTTATGGTTAGTAAACCACCATGAGGCATATCATCGCGTGATCGGTTGCAAAAGCCTTTCCACAAATGCAGTGCAGAGGGGTATTTTTCAATTGCCATCCATAACGTAAAATAAATGCATCTCGAAATTCCCCTTTGTTCACATTAAAGCCTTGATCTTGTAATGGAAGTACACTTAACCATGATGACGATCCTTTTTCGCTCAGTATATCTAGCTTCCTTTGCACTGTTGGCATAAATCTCTTATTTCCTGGATCATATTATCAACTTTCTTCTTTTTTTGCTCTCGTAAAATCATTTTTATTGGCTAATGGACATTTGTCAAATGGACATTTAGTTCGCGCGATGAAAAAATTTTGTTGAAATATTTTAACTATGCTCCAGCTCATGGTAAGCTCGCTGCGAGTAACTCGCAGCACTCGCAGCGAGCTTGCGAGTACGTTTTGCGATGAGTGGAAAAGAGCCATTATTCAGGACTCTACCTAACTTGGACGAAATACATCTACTCACATCTGTACTCAGGTTTGAACCATAGGTTATCGATATAAAAGACTCCAAGCCACACTTTGATGTAAAAATGGTTAAAATCGACAAACAACCAATCTATTTAAAATAACATTGTTATACAGTAGCAAAGCCCGCCCGACTTTTTCCTCCGGTTATGGGAAATATTTCGGTGTCTACTAACTATAAAGTGAATAATGATTACATGCTAATATCGCTAAAATAATTTTTCAGGTTGTTTATATGCTACTGCTATCATGTCGCCCTGTATGTGCCAAAGTCAACTTCTCTGTAATTAGTATAATTATAGTAAGATAGTTTCGAGTGAGATTTTTAAAAAGTGCAGCGAAATAGCTTGCAGTCTTTGAAAAATCCACGAGTGCATATTTAGCGGTAATTACACGAAAAAAAAAACTATACTATTACTTAATAATTTATTTTGAGATCTTTCGTGACTGCACCGTCTGGCTATGTCTCGCTTTGTTACTCTCTATCGCTTCAGAATAGCCTCGTTACGCGACGTATCTGTTAAAAACATTTACCCAAAAAACAGCAATTGCTGCTTTGTTTCTATTCTTTGCATTCTTTTGTTTTTAAAATAATCGCAATTGTGGAAAGCTTTGTTGACTTACAACTGCCCTTCTTTACTTAGGTGTTTTCATTTGGTGACAAAGCTGGTTTGATTCATGATGCATTCGCTTTAGCCAAGTAAGATACACTTCACGTTTTATAGACGATTCATTCGACACATATGTGTCATTAAATTGTAGTTACATTTAAACTGTAATTCTGTAGCTCCAAGTATAGGCAATAATTAAAACCTTACAAAATATAGAGTATTTTTTTGTCCTAAGGTAGGTAAATATCAAAATATATACTGTTAAAGTTTTTCACTGTTTTCAGAGATTCAAAGGCAAATGTACCGTTTTACGTGTATGACCCACAAAATTAACATTTCCTAAGGCCCTTTTTGAGTCACACTTGGTCAATATTGATCATGCAAAGTAGTGAAAACTGCATGCATTTCTACATCCAATATTGCTAAACTAAACTGAATTGACTTATTAACATAATAAAACACATCATTACAAGTAGTTGTAAAATGTTCCATTGTAGTGCCGGCTTACTAGAGTTCAAATATGCTCTAAATATAACGAGATACCTTAAAGATGAGAGAAACTACATTCCATGGGACGCTGCCATGACCTATTTTACGTCCCTCGCGCGCATCGTGCCAAAGACGGAAAAGGCGTACCAAGGAATAAGGGTGCGCCAATCATCATGTAGTTCGCAACATTGCTCATAATTTTTGAATTTAATGTCAAAAGATTTCATTTTTCATATTGGGATTTCTTCATTGTAGAAATACCGCTTCAAATTAATAAAATCGAACTTTGAAAGACTTGGCTTTTTTGATAATGGAACTCACTTGGACAAGTAAGGAAAAATATTAAAGATTAACGATCATATAGACTGGGATTCAAATTCCAACACTTAAGATAGCTAGGTTTCGACATCAGATGAGTGATGACGACAATATTAGAGTTGAATGTAGCTATGAAGCATGAATGCGAGAAATAAAGATGCCGTTTGAAGTAGGACGATTATCTTAGGTACCTGCGAATTGAAGGTGTATATGCTGCATGCTTGGCACGTGACGAAGTCTGTTTGAAAAAGACTAAGGAGCTATTCGATAAATGGATCAACAATGAATCTTAGTAAGTTGATTTTTAGGTTTGCGAGAAATTAACTTAATTTAAATGGTGTTTTTCGCCTTAAATTTTGTATTGTACACAAAATCTCGCATAAATTATGGACGAAACATTTTGATGGAATTACAAATATAACTGGAAATGAAAATGAGCAAATAGCGATAGTAATGAACATCGCATAAGCTCAAACAGTAAGATAATACAGTCACGCAGACATGAAGTATCATTGACAACAAGACAAATGAGGACGTAAATAACACAAGAATAAGAACAAAAGTGACGACATGAATGACATAAAAATAGGAACAAGACAAGTGTAGATATGAATGACATATGAATAAGAACAAGACAATTGAAGACATGAATGACGTAACAATGATAGCAAGACAAGTAAAGACATGATCTATGGGGGTTTACGAACAAGAAATGTTAGAACATTAAACATGAATCACTTATTGACACAAAGATATCACTAAACATTGCTAGTATATAGTATTCAGTGGTTCATGAACTTAGTAAAGACAATTTACGTTTTGCAGTCCACTGCCACCTGACTTAAGATTCCTAGTGTATTTCTATGGAATGTCTCAGAGTGGCGAAAAGGAATGGGACAAAACGTTTGAACGACTTCTGAAAACAAACGTTGCGTCAGAACGAATTAAGCTGATGTATGGACTAGCAGGCATAGCAGAACCTTGGATTCTTAACAGGTATTTAAGTTGCAGGATAAACACATGTGTATCGAATGGATTCACTTTCGATTACGATGTGAAAGCTGGTTTAAAAGTGTTCATTGTTTCGGTCTTTGTTTTTTAGGGATGTCCTTCGTATTGTTTATTTGTAGAGATTCCTGTTGTAGAGAGGTGTTTTATGTACGTAACGTTCATGTCTTCACTTCTCTTTTTCTTATTCTTGTCATTCATGTCTTCACTTGTCTTGTTCTTATTCTTATGTCATTCATGTCTTCACTTGTCTTGTTCTTATTCTTATGTCATTAATGTCTTCACTTGTCTTGTTCTTATTCTTATGTCATTCATGTCTTCACTTGTCTTGTTCTTATTCTTATGTCATTCATGTCTTCACTTGTCTTGTTCTTATTCTTATGTCATTAATGTCTTCACTTGTCTTGTTCTTATTCTTATGTTATTCATGTCTTCACTTGTCTTGTTCTTATTCTTGTGTCATTCATGTCTTCACTTGTCTTGTTCTTATTCTTGTGTCATTCATGTCTTCACTTGTCTTGTTCTTATTCTTATGTCATTTATATCTTCACTTGTCTTGTTCTTATTTTTATGTCATTCATGTCTTCACTTGTCTTGTTCTTATTCTTATGTGATTAATGTCTTCACTTGTCTTGTTCTTATTCTTGTGTCATTAATATCTTCACTTGTTTTGTTCTTATTCTTATGTCATTCATGTCTTCACTTGTCTTGTTCTTATTCTTATGTCATTAATGTCTTCACTTGTCTTGTTCTTATTCTTATGTTATTCATGTCTTCACTTGTCTTGTTCTTATTCTTGTGTCATTCATGTCTTCACTTGTCTTGTTCTTATTCTTGTGTCATTCATGTCTTCACTTGTCTTGTTCTTATTCTTATGTCATTTATATCTTCACTTGTCTTGTTCTTATTTTTATGTCATTCATGTCTTCACTTGTCTTGTTCTTATTCTTATGTGATTAATGTCTTCACTTGTCTTGTTCTTATTCTTGTGTCATTAATATCTTCACTTGTTTTGTTCTTATTCTTATGTCATTCATGTCTTCACTTGTCTTGTTCTTATTCTATTGAAATTTATGTCTTCATTTGTTCTGTTCTTATTCTTACGTCATTCATGTCTTCACTTGTCTTGTTCTTATTTTTATGTCATTCATGTCTTCACTTGTCTTGTTCTTATTCTTATGTCATTCATGTCTTCACTTGTCTTGTTCTTATTCATATGTCATTCATGTCTTCACTTGTCTTGTGCTTATTTTTATGTCATTCATGTCTTCACTTGTCTTGGTCTTATTCATATGTCATTCATGTCTTCACTTGTCTTGTTTTTATTTTATGTCATTCATGTCTTCACTTGTCTTGTTCTTATTCATATGTCATTCATGTCTTCACTTGTTTTGTGCTTATTCTTGTGTCATTAATGTCTTCACTTGTCTTATTCTTGTTCTTGTGTCATATCTTCACTTGTCTTGTTCTTATTCAAATGTCATTTATCATTTTACTTGTCTTGTTTTTATGGTTGTTCAGACAACCTTGTTGTGTTGAGGTATCCTTTGTTTAGAAAAGACATTTAACAAAAATTTCCGTTGTTTACTGAGTTTTCAAAAATACAGAAATGCGTATAAGGATATTTTCTTTGTTTAGGATATCTGTTAATAAGTGTGCGTGTTTTGTGGACTTTTCCATTGTTCATGGAGCTCTTTATCGGAGATTCAATATTTATGCAAATTCCATTCTTATGATTCTTACGTTAGATATCTACAGTATTCATTTCTTGAAAACAAAATCAAGTCGCAAGACTCAAGTTACGTCATCAGTTATGTTGCAAACGCCAATCCCATTGGACGACAATTTGCATGGAATTTCCTCAAGGAGAGCTGGTCGACAATTTTGAAAAAGTAATTCTTGATTCTACTTTTACTTTTTGTGTTTGTTGCCTACTGAAAATTGCGGTTGTTGTCAAACAGTAAATATTTTCAGAAGACTATACGCAGATAATTCGATTTTTTAATGAGGAGTTTTACAAAGGATTTTATAGAGGACTTTATCATTCAAACGCGATTTGATTTTAGCATATGGCCTATGTAGCCAAATTTTCGTTGTTTTTGTTTCACCAAAAGTAAAACAGTGACTTAACACCCATAAAAATCATAAGCTGTCAGATGATGAATGTTTGTAGCAACTTGTAAACTGCTTCTATTTAAAAGAATGAGTCCATTCTGCTTTAAATTTTAGATACGGCAGTGCTTTTGGTTTTGCAAGCAGTACTTTCGTGAGTAGCGTTGCAAGGTTTTTTAGCACCAAGTGGGAACTAGAAGAGGTAAGATAAGATCTGTCGTTTACTTCGCCAAGATTCGGTAACGTTAGTTCGTACTTCGTTCATTTAAACATGGGGATATATTTCTAAGTGTTCAATTCTTCCTTGCTATTTGGAACAAAAAAGGAATAAAACGACCTGCATAGCTGTCTTTAAAGATGGCGTCAAAGCTATCGTTTAAGATACATTACATTTCACTGATTTATCCCTCTCACCAACACCGTTCTAGCTTGAAAAGAATTCATGAATTTTATGCAACCGCAAGGTTTTACTGAGGGTTTTTCAATTTGGAAGCTTTTGTTTGCGAGTTCGTTTCGAGTTTTAATTTCGCGCATTTCAGGTCGAGAAACTTTTCAAGAAATATCCGGAGTCCGGTTCCGCCACCCGAACTCGTGATCAAATCTTGGAAACAATTCGCTCTAATATCCAATGGCGGAAGAAGAATGAAAAGCAAATTGAGGAATGGTTGTCATCATTTGGTTTGGCATAAGAAATATCCTTCTTGTTTGCTACGAACAACGATAACGGTCGTTTTATTTGCTCGTGAATATTTAGTTAGGAGTATTTGGCCGTTAATTCTTTCTCTATTTGGCCAGTCAATCTTGCTTGATATCCTATCGACGTATCATTGGGCAAAACAAATTAAAACAGCTCATTCTTGGTTATCCTAACATTTAAAGATATCTAAAATTTGTTTGATTTATTTTTAAATGTTCGTAATCGTCATCGTGTTGTCATAAGTTATTTTTATTTTAAAATTGAGCTGCTATTATTTATTTTGTCAGCAGCGCTCATATTCGATTAGATTAAGATTACATTCTTCATATTTCCAATAGGTCACCAAAGGAATTATTGTTTTAGCTCTTTTCGTAACCTACTAACTTCACCAGTGATTGAAATTCAGTCCTGAAAGTTTGAGAGAAAGAGCGAGGAGGGAGGAGAGAAAAGGGGAGGAGGGAGCGTCGCATTAGACGTTTTTTGATTTCTTAAAAACTTTGAATACTTTTGTAATATTAGAGAATTCCTTGGCAATGCTAAAAAATTCCTCGATTTTCGACATATTTCCATGAATTGTTTAATTTACATGTTTTTAAGCATTAACTGAAATTTAGGATTGATGGTAACTTTCCAGTCTGTTCTAGAGTAAATATCACAAAAGTAGGTACATGACAAGAAAATAGTTAAACACAATCAGGTTTTACTAGTGAATTTCCCGTTATAATTGTCTCATGCTACTAACCTCATGCCCACGAGACTTCCGCCTCTGAAATTTAACAGTACGCAGACATTGTTCATACTGCACCATGTACGACGTGTTTACATTAATATTGTTTGTTAGTTTTACTGGATAACACTTGTTTGCAAGCAATGAATCGCGTTTGATGTCTGTTGAATGTCACGGGATGTCAATTTATGCTCGGCTGCCTCTCTTGTTTATACGCTTTTTAAGCATTTGCATGCTATGATACGTTATGTTATTGCCCGTGTAAAAAGAAAGATATGTATAGAGAGAGTAACTGTATGATATAATCACCACACAAGACCCTTTCTGACGATTCAGATATTTTGCAGTGCAGTACAATGGCGACTTCTGTTTTTGCTCATAATTACAATATTTTTGATAAAAATGGATCATTTTTATGAAAGTCAGTCGTTTTCCTAAAACTGCAACGGTTTTCTTTTCAACAATAATGTTTGCGTGCTTACGGTGTTTGACCAAACGACAATTTTATAAAGCATTTAAAAAGAAATTATTGGATGAGGTTGAGCATGATATCAAGAATTATTCAGACCGATGTCATTGTTATCTGCCGAAGCGAAGCTGAGGCGGATAACATTGACTGAGGTCCGAATAATTCTTGATATCATGCGAAAAACAAATTCAATAATTGTTTTATTATTTACTGAAGTATTATCAAAACATATCAATATAAAACATTTTTCAAACCTACGCTAATTTGTTTGTGTCAGACGGTTTATTCAAGTTCGTCTCGTTTAAAGGTGACATGAAGTGAATTTCAGTGTTCAATATTTTCAGTCATACAATATCGACCACCTCATCTAGTTGGTTTTCTTGCCTCCATTGTACCGCAATATTATGAGAAGCATGCAAACAAATTGACGTCACACTGTTCAAGTTACGCAATATTGGCCACGTGTAAACGGGACAAACAGATTACATTTTACAACTGAATTTAAGCTAAAAATACAGTCGAAAACACATTTTAGAGGCTTTTACTTTTACAGACGATAAATTTCGATAATTTTTGCCAAAATTGATGTCGAAAGCAATTTGCTTCATGTCACCTTGAAGCCGTGTGACGTCAATTTGTTTGCACTTTAATAGCTGTTTGCATGCTTCTCATAATATTGCGGTATAATGGAGGCAAGAAAACCAACTAGACAAGGTGCTCGATTATGTATGACTAAAAATATTGAAAACTAAAATTCACTTCATGTCACCTTTAAATATGTTGCAAATGTGTTCAAAGCCAGCCTCGCCGCTTTTTTACTGTTTTCCGCATCCTTTTCCTTCAAAAGCTTTCACATCGTTTTAGAATCTGTGGCAAACATCGCTGTTGTTTGATTTGTTTTCAAAACCAGCTCTTAATGGCGTCCATATTTGTAGAAACTATTATCTGTAGATTATGACGTCATAACCATAGATTTAATTTTCTTATTTTCATAGAAAAAATCAAATGAGATGAAAAAGAACACATATCATGCATTATTTTAAAGCGATTGATATTATTTTGTTGACATACGATGCCCTATATTTTACATACCTTTCTCTGAAACACGTTTTCAGGCATATTTTGCCGTCATGTATGCTTTTTTCGTCAAGTCTTGCAGGCATTCGTTGATTCTTGTACATTTTCATGATTATTTATGTGTCCCAGTTTCGTCAAGTTTGGACGCAGTGCGGTTTCTTTTATTTTAGATATTTTGTATGCGGACATTCTTTCAAGATTTCCGCCATTGCAAAGTGTCGTCGCTTCTCTGCTCGATAAATCACGCTTCTCGGATTCTCGGACTTCATATGTATTTGGATTGTAGTAACGCTCTACAATATATTGTAGTTATGTCCCAATCGAAAAAGTGAAAAGATTAATAGTGATAGTAAGGGAAATACCTTCTACGCACATTCAGAATCGAAATTCACAACACAACATTAAAAACAGCATGTACGTCACGCGTGATCTTCGAGAAATACTCGCGTGAGTAAAAAGACGGAACGACATGTATTTCAAAGGTCTGTTCTCTTCAGTGCTGCCACTCGAAGGGGAAATCCCCTACAGTAGGAAGATTTAGTGGTTTGTAGGCAGTAGGGGAAACCTACGGGGAAAACAGTAAATTGTGGGGGATTGTAGGAAGAAAAGAAAATTGTTTAAAAATGAGCTTCATTTTTGCCCAAAATACTTTTTTCTTCCTGTGTTCTCACCATTTAGCAAGTGATTATAACAGAATCTTTCTTTTGGCACATTTTGTGACAGTATAATGCAATAGAAGATCAGCAACTTAGCATAAATTCAGTGTGTCATTTGGGCCACCTGCATGTCATTACTTCCTACGCCAAATTACTAACTTTGTCGTCTAGATGTTCTTAGTTTTCGACAAACCTTTTTTGTATGCATTTTTTAAAAACAGACAAAAAAATCAATGGTCCGACCGGACGTAGGTATATAATAGGGGGATGTGTTGCTGTGTAGGGGAAAAATAGGGGAAAACAAGGAAAATCATCGTAGTGGGAGGTAGGGGGAAAATAAAGTTTTGGTAAGTGAAATGTGCATACACAGAGTGGCATCATTGGTTCTCTTGCTTCAAAAATTAACACATAAACGTTTGTGGGTGTTAAACATTTTTTAAAAACTTCGCTTGTTTAGTTTATATCCATTTTATTTTTATGTGTGATAAACATTGAACATTTTTGCAACATTTGCTTTGATTTACATTGGCATGAAAGCAGACGCTTCGTGAAAATGCATCCCCCTGTAAAGTAGCTCACCATTATCTGCCATTATTCGTGACATTTTTTTTAGTTTTGTGTTTTGAACCGAATCCTAAATGTGCTATGTGAGGTTTTTCCCCTACTGTTATCACTAATCTTTTCTCTTTTTCAATTGAGACTTAACTACAATGTATTGCTTCCTAACTTGACGAAACTGGGACAAAATGTTATTTTGTCGTCAATAATCATGAAAATGTACAAGAATCAACAAATTCTTGCAAGACTCGACAAAAAAAAGCATACATACAGACGGCAAAATATGGCGGAAAAGTGTTTTGGAGGAAGTTAAGTAAAATAAAGTGCATTCGTATATGTCAACAAAATAGTGTCCATCGCTTTCAAATAATTCATGATAAGTGCTGTTTTTGTTCTCATGTGATTCTATGAACATCAGAAAATTCAATCTCTGCCAAGAATATTGTTAATTTATGCAAAATTGAGATTTGATCAGAGATGGTGCATGGTAATTTTCTTAGTAAATAATGATACTATTCAAATTTTTCCCTCCTATGATCACCCCTAAAAATGAATCTTTTAAACACGTAAAGCATTTAAGAAATGCTATTTCTTTTTGTTTTTGGAAGTCTCGGTATCCGAACTTTCGTCGTTCCTGATTAAGCAAAGTGGCACACGTTCCTACAAAGTCTTATAACGGTCGTCCTTGACTACATATAGAGCTGTTCGTTTGATATTGGCGATAATGCATGCTAGTTACTACAATTAAAGCTTATATTACTAGCTATAATGAAGACGATAACAACGACCGTGAATTTTAAAGTTTACAAAGCATACCAAAAAAACGACGATAAAAAATGCAAACACTCTTGGTGAGAAGTTTGTGTCATGTAGACACTTTAGTACTCCTCCAAATTCACGTAGCTAAACACAATGAATAACTTCGTGAGGTTTTCGACGATAAAGTAATTTAGAAAACTCGACATTTCTTCCTCAAATTTTCGTAAGGAATTTGAGTCTAGGACATCATCACGTCCTTAAAAAATATGTGTCAAGTGTCAACCATGGTGAAATGTCCGCTAATCACAGCGTGACGGCCAGCTTGTAGGTAAAGAAAATGGCGGATTTTGTTATCATAGTCCATTAAATTAGACAAACAATGATGAGTAATGTAAAATAGAGTTTTCAATCAATATTGCTAACATCTCATATAAATTAAACTACGTAGGGTTGAAATTGAATTCAGGGTGCAACAATCTCAAAAAAATGATGTAAACATAAACAAAAACGTCTATAGGTTGACACACATTCTTTAACCCTTCATATTGTTGCAAATTATGTTAAAGATGTGTTGGGTTCAAGTGTACATTCGGGTACGTCGGGGACGATAAGGAATAATACAGAAAACATGGGTGGAGCGGAAGTAGAGAAAGGAGAGAACGGAAGTGAGAATGGCGAAATAAGCGAGATACCTTTGAGAGTGAGAATAAAAATTGTTTAACAAACCCAAAGTTGTGATTGTGATTATTCTTCGTGTTCTAAAGACATTGGGACGGAGGTCAATTTTCGGAATAATATCGCAAATGTTTTCTTCTATCGAGTTTTCTTTCTTCGCGCTATTGTTGCAAATTGGCCACTGTGCTAAAAAGGGTTAAGCATTTGTGATTTACCTGACCTCATTGGCTGACCTTAGGATGTCGTGAAAGAATAATATGAACAATTAAGTTTCTGGAATCCGTTATATAGCTTGACAACACACTTTGATTGGACGAGTTTTCTACCTTTTTTTAGATTTAGATAGATTCGGGAAGGAGGAAAGAATGTTCTAAAGATTAGGGAAATATAATCTTTCGAAAGTCGAAAGCTTAAAGGCAACTGTCTCATTTCGAAACTCAAATTTGGCGAATATGATTTCGACGTGTCTGCAGCAAAAAATGATATCAAATTGGTAAAAGGTGAGGCTTGTTTCCGCGAAAACTTAACTCTTGCTTACTTTTACTATTTATTTCGTACAGATGATTTTATTATTGGTATGCCGTTAACCAGTCGAACAAATTTATCCAAACTGGAAATTTGATAGGTTTGATTTGAAGAACAGAATGCTCTACAAAAAATTAAATGTTTTTTCCTTGATCAAATATATGTAAGCATATTCAATATTTTAAGATGCAAATATGTATAGTTTTAGCTTCTTTTTTTTTGATGTCCTTATTTTTCTCCGAAAATTGAATTTGTATCTGCTCTTTTCGATAAGACGTCGAAGTGCTTAATCTGAATCCCTTTATCCACTTAAAAAGTTCCTTAACCTTTATCCCTTTATTTTAAACTTACATTTAATGCAACAAATACAAAGTTTTTCTTAACTCAGCTGAAAAGTTAATTTACCCTCATCCCTTTATTCATTCAGTTTTAAACATTTGTCGTTTTCTAAGCTTCTATAGATTTATAAGCCCGATACATACGACATGCCTCTAAAGGTTGATTTTTTTACATGTAGACACAACTATCACAGGTTTGACATAGGTTTAATTCAACCTGCCGCATGAGATGGGTTAAGTTGCACCGTGTTAGGTTTTGTGATGTAGCCATCTACCTTCCTTAGTATATATTGACTTACACCAACAAATATAGATATCACAGATAACTATACGATCACATTTAATGTTCAACATCAATGTCTACGGTCAACGATCTATTTTACAACGATTAAACTACTTCTATTCATACAAGATATTACATAAGGATATTACGTAAGATATTACGTACTTCTTTCTTTATTAAATGTGGTTACTATATAATAACGGAAAGCTATTAGAAACTATAAAAAATATTGTCATGATTACACATAAGTATCTCTTAAAATAATCATTCAGCTACTTAAACTTGACTTAATTATTTACTACTGACAGGAAGAATATGAAGCATATCTTAGCACACATAGCTTAAACCTTGGTTGGTTGTGTTTACATGCAAAAAAATTGCCTGGTTTGATTTGAGCTTGGGTCGAAGCCAGAAATCGTGTGAATTGGGCTGCATTTAAATGAAAAATACAAAGTTTTTCTTTGTATTTTGTAAGCTCTCAGGCGAAACAAAAACGTAAAGGCAGTGAATAACTCCTTATGATCTTTTACAATGTAAATTAAGGCGACGCCTACTACATACATAACAATTATTTACTCTGAATCCTACTGACGAGTGGAAGGTCGTGCAATTTGTTGCTGAGGAGAGTTCTCAAAACAACGTGAGCTTGTGAATAGTGAAAGGTATAATCGTTATCCACTTTGAAAGTACTTTAAAATAATAGAATTCTTGATTCTGTGTTATGCACAAATATTGATAACTTCTAAGTCGAAACCGTGGTGATATTACATATATTTTGGAAGAATATGTTTGTGAGTTATAACACATTGTATACTGTCGTAAGTGTAAGCCATCGAAAGAGCATGGGACAGCTAGACCAGCTGGAATCTCATTAGAGCATCTTTTCCATGTACTTATGACGAAAATAAAAGGCAAAACTAGCTTATGTAATACCGCAATGCAAAGAGAGATAAAGGCAGTGAGCCATGTGGATAGTAAAAATGTAAAATAATAAATACTTATTATTATTTAGATCTCTTATAAAACTTTTAGGATCCCAAAATACTTGTGTTAACAGATGTTTGTCTTAAAGTACTGTCAATTAATATCTCTCAAGTTAGCATTATACTTAATAAGCCTTTACTTAAGTTGGTCAAGCATTCACTATATTTCCGGCGTAGATAAAATACGCATTTTATGTTGGCGATATGCGACTGTGAGATTTTTTCTTTTTACGTCTGTGGATAAACGGTTTGCATGCATTTTTCCAAAAATTGAAAATTGGAACAAGCTGTAGCTAGCAATATAAGCGTGGTTATGATCATCGTCATCATCAACTTGGCCTTGAGTGTTTACAAACCGTAAAAATTATTGTGCCTTGAAGCGCAAGAATGCGCGAATATTTGCTGTCTATCGGAAAATTACATTTCACGGGTGTATTTGTCTTCTCATGTTAGATCTGTAAAGCAATGTTTTGCCTCTACTCCAAAAATCTTTCTGTGCTCCGAAATTTTCAAAATGGAGTAAAAAGGAATCCCAAAAGGATTGCTTCTATCAATTCAGCAACCCAAATGATACTCATACTTTTACTCCTACAAAGACAAGATTCTGGATAGAGTGGACCACAGCCTGCAAGTTTGGTGGTGCCATGTAAATATTTTCGCGTTCATTCTCTGTGAAAACATTTCTAAAGTATTAAATAATGTCAATGGAATGGTATATAGCCAAACCTGCAGGCTGCCTACGCCACTGGAATACCGCAAATTGCTGTATCATTTACTTTAACCGGCGCCTTTCAATAGAACGGGTGCATAATGAGCCTATTTTTTACGTTTTGTGAACTGTGACGTTTGTACGAATTGTTTGTCTGATGTCAAAAACAATAACTCGTGTGGATCTCAAAAACATAGGAAGTATGTTTCTCTTGCTGTGAATACAGACTTCATATGCCGTAAGAGTATGTTACAATGGGATGGGAACTATTTACACTGTGTTCAAAGTTATTACGCAATTGGCAAATGTCTTACTTTTTTCGCTTTTGTTCGAAAGGTATAGTTCTCTGTGTGATTATAGTTCTATGCTGTTCTACATAGCTATAAAAATGGTTTGGTTATTTTGCACAGATATTTTACGATTAATCGGATATATACGCATATAAGGTGTTTAAAGATATGCATGTTTCTTCCTATGACGCAAAACGCATAAATTTACCGAAAGAATGGAGAATACACAGCATAAAAGCAATGTATAATTATAGCTATAGCAATGCGCTTCATTAAAACATTTGATAAGATATTTCAGGCTGTCCCTTCACTCAAAAATTAAGTTTTACAAACTAACCGTAGCAGACTCAATGGTTGATGTAACACCCGTCTCTTTTAATCACAGATAATAATCTACGATCAACTGAATCAGTCAACACTTTAATTTCTTCTTTGCTATGATGACTGGCAGCTATTTGGATGGCATTCCAAAGCTGGTCGAGCGAACTGTATTTTTTTCCAAAAACACACATTTTTTTCAGCATTGACCACAGATTTTCAAAGAGGTTGAGGTCGGGAGAGCAGTGTGTCCATTTCATTCGATTGTCGTCTTTAATGCCAATCTTCTTTAATCAATCACTGGTGTACATGGCAGATTGAATATTTAAGTTTTCCGAAGTCTTAGAGACTGCTTCCTCCGCCAGGGACAAAAATGCTTGTCTAGGAAGGCACAGCACAGCGTTGCTGTGATTTGTTCCCGTCTTCAACGCGAAATGGCCCTATGAGGGTGTCTCCAGTGTTTGCATCCCAAAAGGCCCAGCCATTTGGTCCATCAATAGTCGCACGTCATTCATCTGTAAATATTACTTTTAAAAAGTCCACTTTCATGTATTTTCTCGCCCATTCCATTCTTTTTGTTTTTTGTCTCTGATTAAGGGGTGGATTTTTTGCAGCTTTCTTTATGCTGCCACATTCACATAACGCTTTGCAACGAGTAGCTCGGCAGATATTAGGTATATTACACGCCTCAAATACCTGCATACTTGTTGCTAAAGTGTCTTCACAACATGGCGATGACTTTTCCGCAGTTCGCGTTCAGTCAACTTTCGAAATTTTTGTTGTGAGCGTTTCTTACGTCAATGGTTACTCACTGCCACCAACTTTTTGACTGTGCGGTGATCGCGCTGCAAAGATTTGGCTATCTGCAATGTCAATTTTCCACTTGCCAATTCCTTAGTAACAAATTCTTTTTCATTTACTGTCAGATCTGGTTTTCGGCGCATTCTGTTACGAGAGTCCCTTTTGCTTAGTAACTTTAAACACCTTCATTCCTTCTTGTTATTAAAAGCTAATTTTATACTTTTCAAGAGTGCTTTTCATCACTAATTATGCATTTTAAATGACCTCGTTGCCATTTACGTTATTTTTTGTTTACATTTCAGAAACCGGTTTTGCATATTAACTTTACACACAGTGTACATGCACTTGGCGCGGGAAGTTGAAAACACTTAGTTCTTAAGGAAAACTTACTTTACAACTGTGGGAAGGAGAAAAATTTTAAATTTTCTTCCATAGCATATCTTGTATATACATATATATAGCTATAGGCTGCAAACGTTATTTTGATACGCATCTCATTCAAGCGGTTTGTTGGTATTTGTTCTCAGTTTACGCACATTGACCATTGCTGTAGTTTACGTTGAGTTGTATCTTTGAGGTAAACAAAAAATATCTAAGTTGGAGGATTAAAAAAATTTGTTCACATTATGTCACGTGATGACGAACCAGCGTTTGTTGTCAAAAATGGCGACATTGTAAATATCGGCGTATGGTTGACAAAATATATCAGAAGTAAAGTACCGTCCCTTATATAGTTTTTAGAGTCATGATGCAGCATCCCGCACAACAAAACGTTTAGATTTTGCGACATTGTGACTAATCGCCATAAACAACAAACGTATAGACCGACCAAGTTCTGGTGTTACATCATTCGTACGATTGACAGCTATGTATAATACAAAGAACTTTAAACAATGTGCAATGTAGTTTTCACTAAAGTTATTAGTCATCTTTAGAGCAACAAGCTACAACTTAAGATTGTGACTTGCGAAGAATAACTTCGCAAGGAGAAGGAGTGGAAGAATTTTAATTGGTATTATTCGTTCGTAGGTTATCGCATGTCAGCCTTTATTTCGAGCACAAAATATTTTATCCCTCATACTTAATATCATTAAAATTTTTTTGTGGCCAAAATCAAACATATTTGTAGAATTATTTTTTCAAATTTGCAGTTTTAGAATGGAATCGAATAAAGAAAGAGTCGCACTTATGAAGGAGCAACTGAAGTTTGAAACGGATAAGCGCAAAAAGTTGCAAAACTCTGAGTTGTTTGTTCTTGATAATTCACTTCGTGAAAGTACTGTTGGACAACTACGAGGTCACACTTTGGAAAATAAATGGAAAATATATAATGAGGTGGGTATTACCCTGACTAGATTGTATGGGTACATAACTGAACGATGATGATATTATCAAGCAGCTAATAGCTTAAACCAAGGCAAAGACCATATTGTTTCTTACACAGTATGTGCTTGTTGTGCACCAGTCAATTACATCATTTAACAGATAAATCAATAACTACATTTCAAATGAATTATTGCTCTAAGCGTGCTTAATACACGTGGAATTAGATACAGTGGGTTGCTTCGAAAAACCATAAAAATACGATATAAAAGATCCAGTGAAGTCGCAAGACAAGATTTGTCCTTTTTTCCACCTGATAAATACATAATTGAATATCAAATGCACAAAATATCCTAATATGTGAATAAATGGATTTTTCTTCCAAAAGAGAATTTCTGATTTTGACGGAAAATCATGACAAAAATGTAAACCGGTGTAATTGAGCTAATTTTTTTTATTTGATGAAATAATGAAAGGATAACAACTTCCACTGAGCCCTGATAAAAGTTTGGGACAAAGGATGAACTTAATCACTGACATTATCATTTACCAATAAACCCTTTTAATCTTTGTGGTAAACAATTTGAATTTGTAGTAAACACAGAATCAAAAAAGGATTCAAAGATGTTGTTTATGTACTTAAAATACGATTTAACATGCATTGTTTATAATCTAATCCTGAATTGTTGCCTTTATGTTCGTTGACAGGTGAAGAAGGTCGGCTTCAATAACATGATTGTTGCTGCTTTTTCACACATGACTCGTGTGGGTGACGTATTCATTAAAGAACTTAAAGAAGCGGGAGAAGATTTCGATAAATTTTACGCTTTTACTGAGTTGTTTGAATCAATCGACAAAAATCGGATTCCTGATGTCGACACACTTCCGGTTGGTCTGAAAAAGATGAAGGAACTTAGTCTCCGCCATCCAATCATCGAATTCGATCTTGTTTACAAAGGAATTGACTACACGAAATTTAAGGTGCGAAATATTATTCAACTGATGAAGAAGAGAATGGAATGGTGCCGTTCAGAAGAAGGATTACACAAAGATTCCAGAGTGCTCTTTAACTTCAGAGATTTTTCAGATGCCATGAGATTTAAGCCTAAACGTGTGTTCAAAATTGTTACTTTTTTGTCCTCTCTTCCTGAAGACGAACGTCCCTTTGCAATACTGTTTGAAGAAACTGGTAAAAACCTTCCAGAAGAGCTTGGTGTTTGGACCGCTGCCGTTCGAAAGGAGATGGATGCCAATGGTTGGACAGAAAATGCTACAAAGAAAGGTCACTTGCTGGCGCACGTACACGAGCAATGGGGCCTTGCCCACATGACACAAATGGAATGTATTATCAACGGCGCTACAGGAGTCTGGGCTAGTCTTTGCGAGGAAGGAGCAGCTATGGGTCACGCAAGTTCGTCAATTCTTTTGATGAATATGATTCGAATGGGAAACAAGAAAGTCCTTGCTCAGTACAAAGGTTGTGTGAAGCTACGAGAAGCAGCTCAGAATGTTACTCTTATCACTACTGGCTTACCACCACATCCAAAGCAACCAGTTTATGGAGAGCGAGCCCTGGACATGGTATTTGGTATGCCCAACTTTGGCCAACCTGAAAAAAATGATTTTTCAATGGCAGAATTCTTTGGTGAAAAGCCAGTCATGAGGATAACTACGTTGGCCTCACCACAAATGATTGTCGATCGACTGACATATCTTTTTGGTGAATGTCCCCAATTTACTTTGCAAAGGGCAAAAGCTATGTTGGCAAAAATGTTAGAGGATCTTCGCAATGAAAGGAAGGAAGAATACATGAGTAAAGTTGGCTTAGCTGTGTTGTTTGATCGTTCTGGTGGTCAGCTTACTAAGGGAATGGCAGACGCCATTGCAGAAGACAAACCGAAATCCATGCGCACTAAGGAATTGCTAGATGAAATACGTAAAATGTGGGATGAATGGGATCTTCGTGATGTGGTACAAGGCGATGACAAACTTGAATTCGATTCTTTCTACAATGGCTTCATGGCGCCATATTTTGGTTGTTACAGATGTGACGAAACCAAACGTGCACTGAAAGCTATCGACATGGATGAAGACGGCTCAGTTGACTGGAATGAGTTTGCACTGTATCTCAGATGGGCTGCTCGACAATACCCGGATGTCAAAGATGCTGAAGAGTTGCTGTCAATTGCATTTCGCAAAGGTCTCATTCCCGCCATGCAAGATGTCATCTTAAACGAAGATAAATAAACATCGTTACATTGCTCATTAAGTTTTCGTAAAATTTTTCACATTAAACTTTCTTAAAATTAGTTATGGTCCATTGATTTGAAAAATAATCAAATTTTATTTTATTTAGGATTTACTTTTGTATTTTATCTTTTGTATGAGACAAATAGAATAAAGGTCAGTTAAACACATTATTTCTAATTTTTTGATAGAAAGACGTTCATGGTCAGGTGCAATAAAAGTACAATGTGTAACAGAAACTTTTGAAAGAAACGTTTGCTCTCTTTTTCTCTCGGTGCTGTTTTTGCTACATTGAGTTAGCTGTTATGTTCTTAATACATCCTTAAAAATAATATAATTATTTTATCAGAAGAGAAATTCAAACACTTTCCCTGCTAAACACATATATGGAAAATTTTCCAACAAATGGTGACCGGAAAGAATGTCCTTTGAACCTCTTCTTTGGGTTAAAAGGGTAAGTGTGTTATTTACAAATCTTGTATAGTTTGGCAAAATGACAAAATGGGCATAGACTAACATTAATAAACCTCAGATTTATAAAACGAAAACAACCTGAAATATCAACTGATGTATGCTATCCTTATAATGATAACGAAGTTAATATAAAGTGTTGTCAACATGGTAATTGGCAAGCACAACTTACTAAATAAAAATTATAACTTATATAGAACAAAATTATACAATGTGTAAGTCGTTGTATTATACATTGAAAGAATGTAGATGGCATAAGTCTGCTAAGTTTTGGCGACAATGATCATTGACAAGAATCGGAGCGCGGTAAGACTCTTCTATTACAAATAAATGGCAATGCTAACTTTTAATTTGGTAACATCTAACATGTTATAATATTAATATGACGTGCTTGTTTTCATACATTTGTTATAATCAATTTGTTTGTCACCGCTTTTGCATACAAATAATATTTGGACAAATATCTATTGTTTAAATAATATTCACGTCCTTCAATAGATGATTTTGTTATTGACTATAAAACAATATTTTGGCCATGAAGTCCACCGCATTCTTCTCTTAAAGGCAGCTCTATGCGTCTTCAAGAGAACATCTTTCTGTATTGGCTCAACTGTTGAACCATGAAAGTTTTACAAACACCAGCAGCAAAGAGTATCTATTCAAAACTTCCGGAGAAAGGGAATACTTAACTAATTAGACTTATATTTTGATTGAATAATCTTTATATATCAAAGTGTTTGCATATTTTGCATGTATTCATTTGTATATATTTATTTATTGTTTTTTTACTTATATATATCTGTATCACCATTGAAACTCTTCATTAAATTTTGTGAAATGAAAAGCATGGAAGCTTTTTTGCTACACCAATACAAGAGTCAAAAAAACCCTCAAAAGTGTTGATATAACACCAGAAAACAGTGTTAATCTAACACCAACCAAACTGTTATAATAGCACCTTTTTAAAGGTTTAAAATTTAACACCTAAAACGTGTCATTTTGCCATTTGTATTTAACACTTTTTTCGGTGTTCATTTAACACTCTAAAACTAACAGTGTAATTGAATTTTCCGACCAATAGGAACGCCGAAATGCCTCACCGCAGACAGTAGTTTAATGAAAAACACAACACTGCGTTTGAACAGAAAAGTGGCCCTGCCGTTTATTCCTCATACTGTGCTTTTGGTGCGCCTCGGATCGTAACACAATTGTAATAAGAAATATTACAAGAAAAGCAAACACTGTATACTTATATAATAAGAAATGCATGCATTCTTTATTACCTTAATTCATTGGCATTCTCAAAGCAGTCATTTTTGTGCTCCGAGGCGAAACTAAGTGCAGAAAATAATTTAAATAATTGGATAATTTGTGTTCTGCATTGTGACTTATGCAAGTGGCGAAGTATCCTGAACAATTATTTCACAAATTTAAATACTTTGCTAATCATATACTCTGACTCATTCAAAAGAGTTCTTGTTCTTTTCAACGTCGTCGCAATTTGCAGCTGTGGAAATTTTGAAAGATCCTCTCGTTGCAGGTGGAAAGTTTAAGGTATGATTGTGAACTATTTATAGATAGTGTAAATAGCTACTACTTTACTCCCGATAATACTTTACACTCGCATTCACGAGAGTGTTGCGTGTACTTTAGCATGTTCATGTTTAAAAGCACCATATGAACTCTACTAGCTTTGGCAAGCAAGACCATAAGCTTAATCTCATTAGAGCCTCCTTTCCATCAAGTTAACATGAAAATCGAAGGCAATACGATCGCGCTGCTATTGAAGTTGATATTTCGACAGTCGAGCGAACGAAGAAAATTCAAAACATTTAAACAGCTCAAATTTTGCTTTTTATCAACTCTATGGTACTGTTATTTAAGCGGTGTTAAGGTTTTGTAAAGTTGCCTAAACAACAGCGGCGTGAACACCACAGTGTGTCGTGTTATCTTTTTGTTAGTGCATTCTGTGTGGTTCTAGAAGGTCTAGTTAATATAGGCTAGCCGATTAATTTAAGCTTGCAACGTCAACAGTTCGATTTGAACACAAACTAATTAGGCATTTTGTCTCGGCATTTTTGTACTATATTTTTGGCCGAAAAGTAATGTTCATTTTGCTAAATAGAAAAGAGAAATACTTTTTCAAAGCTAAACACGGGACATGGAGTCTTCACGGTAGCATTCAATCTTTGAATTAGACGCATTTTTATATACAATTGTTTGCAAACTATTCGAAAAATACAATTGATGGCAATTAATGTTGGAAGCAGAATTGCATGGGAAGAATATTCGTAAAAAATACATGCTGTTCCCCAATTGTTTTAAAACACCCAGTATGATGCAACACTGTTGTTTAAGCTAACTACTAAATGTTTTGCATTTGACGTCCTAATATCGACATGATTGACTGCACTTAGGGTCTTTGTGTAATGTGAAACGGCTTGCTTTTACAGTTAATGTAGTATAGGGTTCCATTATTAAACGCATTTCCAAAGCATTACTCGTCTGTATGTAGAAAGCAGTCGCATACAATTATTGAAACAAGTAGGCTATACCAAAAGAAAAGCTAAGTTTTGACTGACTGGGATGTAAATGATCAGTGGCGGACCTCAAAATGTAAATGTAAATGATCAGTGGCGGACCTCAAAATTAATTACAGCAGCGCAATTTGGAATATATTTACATTTCTAAGCCCTTAAAGGACAACTTCATTCGTGAAATTATATAATTTAGAAATTCGAAACCAATAGAGTTTTTCTGAAAGTACATGAATTGAAAATTGAGCAGCTATAATTTTTTTTGAGGTACCCTAGAGCCGCCATTGAATGCCATAGCATAAGTGTAAGGCAGAAAGTAGCGCGTATCCTACTTCAGGCAGAAAAATGATTGCAGAGCAATAATAGCGTGTATCCTACTTCATGAATGTTAGATACTTTATAAACTATGTTCTTCAAAGCATTGCATAAAAGTGGTGTGTGTTAAGGATTTTACTCCTGATTTTTTGCAATGACCCAAGAAAGTTCACTTTAATATTATTGGTTTGACAAATTAAATGTTAACAGTGCATTTTGTTGTCACCAGACTGCATGCCAATTCCCACCATGAGAGTCAGTGCGCTTCAGCACAAAGCGTGTATATGCAGAGGCGTTACCATTTGTTTACTCAAGATTTGTATGTATTTTGGTGTTCACTGATTGTAATTACAAGAGATCTTTACGGGAATGTGCAGTGTGGCCATACATCTATAATCTCCCACATGCTTGTGTAGTGGCAAGTGTTTATATGGGGGTGGGGGTGGGGAGTGGTTTAGGCATATCCGACAAGATCTAGTAAAAAATTGCACATTAAAAATGGTTATAATTGTGTTTCAAGATTTACTTAGCATGGCAAACTTGCTCACTTGCAATGTTGCTATGAATCAATGAAGTAATTGAGCTTCCAAACAATATTCCAGTGATATTTTATTCAAATTATATCTCTAAATTGCATCCTTTCTAAATTATTTTTTGTGAAAAATAAGTACCAACAAAAACTCCTTATGCATGATTTTCATCGTGAGAAAATTTAAATGGTAAAGACTCCCGTAAACTAATACATTTGCAATATCCTACTGAAGACAGAGAAAGCCCTATTCCAATTTAAGGTAGCCTTAATATTTCTGCGTACTCTTTCTTCGTTGAAAATCACTACTTTTTCAGGTCCCGAATGTATCACTTATTAAGACACAAAGTAAACGAATGATGCTTTTGCCGTCTTCTTCGAGTTTTGGATTCTTTTTAAATATATTCTTGGGTTGTCTGCTACGTCATAGTCGCCATGTAGGATGATTTTAATAAAGCATTTTTCTTATTTACAATAGAAATTTCATCCAATATGGCGAGCATTCCATTGATCTCTTACTCCACAGGGGATGGCGGCAACCAGAGCCCTGTGTTAGGAGAGTTGGAACACCGGAAGTAAAGTTGCCTTAGCATACGCTATTTTTGTTCCAAAAGCCAGCAAATATAAAGCATTAAATGGTGGAAAGACAAATTTTTTGTTGAGTTTTCTTATTCATGAATAGACAGCGATCGCTGCATTTACAATTGAGTTGTTTATAGATGTCATAATAATAGAAAAGCATTTATTTAATGCAGTGGATGTAATTTCTACTCCATTAATACTGTTTTTGCCGTAAGGGCGTGCGTATCTTTCTATTCTTTATCGCTCTGATTGGCACTAATGTAACGCAAAATAAAATCATTGCAAACATTTTTTTATAATTTATTTCCTATGTAAAAAATGGTTATAATTTGCGCTTCTGGGACAAAAATGACGGCTGGATGCCCTTGTTTCTCCATATCTACCTAATCACCTTGATGAAAATGCAAAGTGAAGAGAACAATACGTATCCCAACTTTTACAAATATATTGCTCTGGTTGCAACCCACCAGTTGTAGTAAGTTTTTTCATCAACAAATTTGCCAATTTAAAGCTTTAGTAATTGTTTTAAGTGAGCTGTTGTTTACAGTTCCCGTATGCTTTGTATGTTTAACCATTTTTAACATTTTTCCGCCATGAATGACAAATATATGTTTTTTAAAGTCTGTTTAACAGTTATCAGTTGAATTAAAGACGAAAAACGTCTTTATATAAAGCAGTGATTCACAAACTTATAATTTACAGAATGAATATAAAAGCAACACAAACATGTTTTGCCAAATACGAGTGGCTAAAACGTTCTAAAATTGCGATAAAAAGGAAAGCATTCTTCAACAATTAGATTATGACAGTATTTACTATATATTGACGCATAATATTTACAAAAAAGTCGAAAAATCTTAATCAGCCACAGTAGCTTAACATCCGGGAATCGATTTTGCCCCCAACTCACACGTACAATATTTGGACTATAGATTACATTTCGATGCGACCTCTAGTATTACTTGGTATGATCTCTATGGCTCTTACGGCTATCCCATGTTGCTATTTTGATGTCTTTGGTCACTGGAATAATTTTATCCAATTCTTTTTTGAAATTATCATAATAATTCTTGCCGATAGGATTTACTTTGGTCTTTTTACTGAACAAAAGTAAAGAACTTCAAAACTTACTAATTAAGCAACAAGCTATGCATGGAACTAACATTTTGCCCAGCGAACCCGTTCTCTCAAGAAATTCTTTCAAAAAGACAATGGGCGGTGTTGATGTAATTAGATGTCCTCATACTGACCTCTCCCTCTTTCTTTCCACGTCTGATAACTCCACTAACATCAGTAATAGTTTAAAACAGTATTCTATGAGATAAGACATGCTATGAATTGATTTTGTCAAATTGCTGAGGCTTTCATATGTTAACGCTGTTGGACTTCTTAAGATTATTTTTTATAATATACAGCTTCAACATGACATCGTACAAGAAAAAGTCGCACTTATGGAGGAGAGCTTGATGTCCGAAACGGAAAAGCGCAAAAAGTTGAAAAACTCTGAGATATTTGTTCTTGATAATTCACTTCGTGAAAGTACAGTTGGACAACTACGAGGTCACACTTTGGAAAATAAATGGAAAATATATGAAGAGGTAGGTGTTACACAGACGTAATACCTAACTGAATGATAAAGAAAACATTATGCAACTCACATGTGTTTAAAGTGAATGAGTTGAACCCGGAAGTATTATTACGTGTTTTTTAGATGTAGATCATACAGCTCAGTAGACTTCGGAGAAGGACTGTAGATGTTGATGTTGACTGACGTTTTGACAACATTAGCGATAGTCTTATTTAAAGTCAAGCGAGGAGTAAACGTTTGGCGTGCCTTTTTTCTTGTTCATACGTAATTGTATTGTGTGTACATGAAATGCG